CACTTTGGTTTTGTCTGAAGAATTTCTACATGGGCACATGCCCTTCTGTGAATGAGGAGACTCTCTAAATCCTGTTACCAGCAATGGCCAGTTGAGTCAGCTCAGGTATTAGGTTGCCTCTGAAAGGCTTATAGTTTTATTATTTGATTCCCATTCCTCTTCTCTTCCCCCTGACGTGCCCATCCTAAGCACTGGATCATAAGCTTTCTCTAAAAATAATGTATTAATAGACCGCCTTTACTGAGAAGGCCTAACTTCGTGCCAGACACTGAGCTAGATGCTTTGTGTTCATTAGCTCAGTTCGTTCTCCCAACAACCCACAGGTTATAGTTATTCTGTTAGTTTTCCCTGTTAATCAGTCAAGGAAATTGGGGTGCACCTGCCGTGCAAGTGAAACCTACATTTTTTTCAACTCTGAAACCAGAGTGCTCTGAGTCATTAAACTAAACTGCCTGCCCCATTGATGAATAGCCATTCACTCATTCAGCTGATATTTATTGAGGGCCTAAGATGGGCCAGATATTGGCCTAGGAATAGGCCAAATGCCCAAAACAAGGGCATGCCCCTGCCTTCCAGAAGCTCACAGTCTGTCCCAGGGAGAGAACAGCCAGATCTGGTTTGATCTTTGGGGCTGGCAAGCTATGGGATTTAGGGCAAATCTGTTCTATTCTCTTAACTTCAGATTTCATATCTGTAAATTGAGGCAGCTGGATTTAGACAAGTGGTTTTTCCAGGTTCACTGTGAATCAGAATCACTTGGGGACTGTGTTTAAAAACACATCTTGGCCTTCCACCCCCCCAGGTACTTTGATTTAATAGGTTCAAGGTGGGGCCAGGAAATTACATCTATAATGAGGGCCCAGGGCTCCCAAAAACCACCCTTTGAGAGATACCGATCTGGCTGTAAACCCCATTAACACTTACAGGATCTGTGTTGTCATGCCTGCATCCCCAGTTCCTAGCACAGTGCCTGGCATGGGGTAGGTCTTGATAAACATTTGGTGATAAGTTTGGATGATCTATCTATGGGGTTTCCATGGATGGACCTCATAAGTCCTGAACCACCTGAATTAGACCAGTTTTTGTTAAGGTTTATGGGTAGGATTCAAAGGGTCCTTTGGGCACTGAAAGCTCTGTGATTTTAGGATTGAAACCTAAATTTTTCCTGCCAAAAGCTCAGACCTGTTAATTGGAAAGCTTTTTAACCCGTGTAGCAAAATTTGAGTTCTGTATCAAGGTGATTTGATGTCAGTTTACAGTAGATTCTTAAAATCCTAAAGGAGTTGATGTCCACATTTTATGTGTAGATTCTGGAAGTGTCCAGGATACATTCTGTTTTTGTGATTTTTCTCAGTTCCTCTGAAAATACCTATTGGGTAGGTAGTGCTGTCTCCATTTTCTAGGTGGGAAGATTGGGGCACTTGTGACTCCTGTAGCTTGTCCAAGGTCACACTGCAAGGGCTCTCTTCACTGAAAACTAGCCTGGAAATCAAAGAACATGGCTTCTATCCTCTTGCCTGCTTATGTGGCCTTGGTTGGGTAGCTTGGCCTCTTTGGGCCTCAGCTTCCCCATCTGTAAGATGGGAGAGGAGTGGACTAATTGATTCTGAGCAGCTGTTTAGCTTGGATATTTGAGATTCCTCTATAACAATGTGCTTAGACATGTAGAACTCCCTGTGTCTGCAGGCTCTGACATCCTATTAGTTTAGGGAGATGGAAGGGCTATTGAGACCACCTAGACAACATCAATCTTTTCTGTAGAACATTCCAGAGGGTCAAATATCATGAAAGCAAAGGCAATACAGGTGGTAGAAGCTGAGGGTGTGAAACTCCCAGAATTTTAGAACTTTAATTCTCTACACTGTCAGTTCAGCAATTCACTGTCCATTCTGAGAAGATTCAAGGAGTCTCCTTCCATGAGGTCACAACTGTGATATTCAATCCCGTGTCCCATTCCCAGTATCGAGGGAAGACTTTCACGAGCAAATGGAGGAAGCAGAGCCCTTCATGGAATTTTAGACTCTTGAAATTGTCCTTTAAGGGTCACCTGACCCTTAACAATAGGAAATCTCCCTTTTTTTTCCACACTGGAAATTAAAAAAACAAAGCAAAACAAAATAAAACCTCAAAAGCCATCAGCTTGTTTTTGCCAGCAACCATACCTAAGGTTTTTGTGACCTTTGATGGTAAATATCTGTTCAACTTAGATACTAGAGCCCAGGTTTGGTCTGACCAGCACCCAAGCAGGCAGGATTATGGACTTCTTCATTCTAGACCAGTAGTTCTCAAACCTGAGTGGGCATCAGAATCTCTTGGAGGACTTGTTAAAACACCGATCGTAGGGCCTCATCCCCAGAGTTTCTGCCTTAGGAGGACTGGGGCAGGGCCCAGGAATTAACATTTCTTTTTTTTTTTTTTTTAAGATTTTATTTATTTATTTATTTGAGAGCGAGAGAGAGCACATGAGTGGAGAGAGGGCGAAGCAGACCCCATGGAGCAGGGAGCCTGAGCGCAGGGGCCGATCCCAGGACCCTGAGATCATGACCTGAGCCGAAGGCAGACACTTAACTGGATGAGCCACTCAGGTGCCCCAGGAATTAACATTTCCAATGAAGTCCCAGGTGGGGCAGTGCTGCTCACACTTTGAGAACCTCTTTAGATGGGCTCCTTCCATTAAGGTAGCCTCAGCTTGCCGAGCTTCTTCATTCCACCAGTGACCTAAGCAGTCAACTGAAGTTCCCAGTCTTTGGGTAGCAGAAGAGGGAAAAGGAATTGGGAGGGAGGGCTGGAGAAAAGATTGCTAAACAGCCGTTGACCGATCCCTCTTGACATCTTAGCAATGGAGGCTTTTACCTTGGGCAGGTCCCTGACCCACCCCAGGGCTCGGCTGCTCTGTGTGTGAAATAGTAAAGTGGCCCCAGTCAGTTCCCAAGTATATTTATTCATTTGTTTGGAGATTTGATTGTCAATTTGTTTTTAGCCAAGGGCCTTTTTAAAATGAAATCCACATGGAACCGTGGTTCAAAAAACAGATGCCTTGCTGGTCTGGTTGAAAGGGTGTCAAGCTCCCACTCTCAGCACCCCTCCTCCCAAGGCAGTGCTGAGTGTCTCCTGTAGAAATGTAGCTGAACACAGTTGAAACTTGCTGGAGGAACTTCCAGCTCAGCTTCTGTGATTTCTGAGAACTTCCAGCTCAGCTTCTGTGATTTCTGAGAACCCCCGCGAACCGTTTGTAGGCACGTGGGCTTTGTTTTCACAGTTTTCTTTCCCTTTCTGACCAACACATCTGGCATGCTAACTTCCAGAATTTTCTCCTCACAGCTCAGAGAGGTCTGTAGGAGAGGGAACACAAAGGATTGTTATTATCATTAGAGCTGATATAAGGATATTGAGCCGTTGTGGAAAATCTGCTAACACAAGGATCAGCCAGAGACTTAATAAACAGGCTTGGGGATGATTTTATTCTGGTGGCTTCTTGTTAGTGCTAATGTTGCAGCATGCCACATGCTCAGGGCCTTCGTAGCTAATTACATAGGAAATAGGACTATTGGATCTTGCGTGCCACAGTGGCAAGAATAAGTCTGCAGGATTTTTAATGGGCAAGGTGATGTGGAAAGCCATTCTCATTTACGTGAACACAGGAAGATATTTAAACAGCCATGTGGTGCAGTGTTACCTGGGGAAGACTCTAACTGAGCCCCCAGGGCCAAGTCTTTAGACTTGACTCTTGGCGTGGGGAAGCATCTGGCACCTTCTGATGACCCCAGATACTGGAATGAAATTCCTTTGATTAGGGAAACTGCTTCCTAATAGGCCCACCAGGATGGACTTACCTCCCAGACACAATAAATGCCTTCAGAGCCCAGCCCCTGGGGACTGCTCTCTTGTGACTGCTGTATATTCCCCTATTCTTTCAGCCGTCCAATTGCTTGTTCATACATTCCACACACAATGGCCGAATGTTCACCCTCTTTGGGACTGGGCCATTGGAACTATCGAAGTGACCAAAACCCGACTTCTGCTCCTGAGCTCAGAGCTCCTCAGGCCCAGCCCAGCTCTGCCACTCTCCCCTGCACCTGGCAGTCTTGCCCTGCCTCTCATTTCTGCCTACCCAAAGCTTAGCCCAAATGCTCTCAAGTCTGTGAAATTTTCCCCCGTTCTCCCAAGTGAAAGTCAACTCCTATAGCCCTTTCTCCAGGCCTCTGATTTGAGGTTCACTTACCTGCCCTGCCCAGTATATAGCCATGAGCCACCTGGAAGGGTCTGAATTGAGATGAATACAAGTGTAAAACACATACTGGATTTCAAAGGCTTAGGGGATGCCTGGGTGGCTCAGGTTCATGATCCCAGGGTCCTGGGATCAAGCCCCGCAACAGGCTCCCTGCTTAGCGGGGAGCCTGCCTCTCCCTCTCCCTGCCGCTCCCCCTGCTTGTGCTCACTCTCCCTCTGACAAATAAATTAATAAAATCTTTAAAAAAGAAAAGAATTTCAAAGGCTTAGTACAAAAAAAAAAGTATGTAAAATATCTCAGTGATTTTTTACACTGTGTATTGAAACAATAATATTTTAGATAGAATATACTGGGTTAAGTAAAATATATTATCAAAACTGATTCATCTTTTTTATTTTTATTTTTTTTAGTGTGAATACTAGAAAATTTAAAGTTACACATGTGGCTCACATTTGTGGCTCCCATATTTCTACTGGATGGAGCTACACTTACTGCTTTCTCCCTTGGGGGAAAGGACTGTCTGTCCACCTGTTTTCTCTCCTGCTGGGTTCTGAGTACCAGGAGGGTGGACAGTGTGTGCCTGTCATTCTTCTGACCTTTGCCCACCTGACTGGCACACGGCAGCTCTAACAAAGGTAGATTGAGGGAATTCATAAATGAGCAGATGATGACAGATCAAAAGCTCCCGTAGATAGTGCAATTTATGGGTCTCTGTTATTCAACTTATTTTTCCTTTCCTTCCTTTTCACTGTTTTTATCTTTTTTAAAGGGCTCCCACAATCAGCAGAAGAAGATATTTTTCGTGGAAGATGGGCAAAAGCTGAAGGATTGGCATGACAAAGAAGCCATCAGGAGAGATGCCCAGCGCGTAGGTATGGAGAACAGTATCGAGCACCGGAGGGTCCTGTGAAGGGCACGTACGCATGCGTGCACTCGCGTGTGCATGTTTAGCAGGCGTGTCTGGATCTCCTTTTCACTCCCTCTCCATTTGGCGTCATCCCTTCCCCTGCTTCTTGGGGGTCTCCCTTTTCACCTGCTAGCTGATCCCTTTCTCCACTCACATCACCAGATCCACTGCCTTCAGGAGTTGTCCCCACCACCTTTATTGGGTGATAAACAATGTCTCCCCCCTTATGAGCTATTTTACCACTAAAATGAGGAGCAGTCATGGTAAGAGCCAACATTTATTAAACACCTGCGGTAAGCAAGGCCCATGCTCCACACTTCGCACATTTTCTCAGGGAAACCCCGAGTCACCCTTTGTGGCCCATTTGATGAGAAGGAACCCAGAGCTCAGAGATGTGGGGTGATCTGCCTGCAGTCACACAGTGAGAAAGATGCAGGCTTGTGACTCGAACCCAGGTCTGGAGGACAGAGTCGACCCCTACCCAGCTCTGTAGCCACAAGGTCGAATGGACTTAGCAGGCTTCAGCTAAAGTTTTCTTTGGCTAATTAGTCTTTGGAGCAGTTCCTGTTACACTGGGGAGTTGGGAAGGGGTGGGGAGGGGTGGGGTTTATAGAAATTATGTGGAAAATCATCTCTAGAGAGCCTGGACTAGGAGTCAGGATGGCAGCTCTGGCACTGCTGACCAACCACGTGACCATCGGAGACATCCCATGCTCCTGGAGCCTCGGTTTCCCCATGCGTCTGTGGGGCTCATGCTTCCTCCTCCGACAACCTCAGGGTGTTGTTGTGAAGGTGACACAAATAAAGTGATGGGTATGAAGCAACTTTTCAATACTGGAAAGCACCGTAGAAATACAGGGATTGGTATTTCATTCATTTTTTTAATAAAGATTTTTTTATTTATTTATTCATGAGAGACAGAGGGAGAGAGAGAGGGAGAGAGAGAGAGAGAAGCAGAGGGAGAAGCAGGCTCCCAAGGATCAGGGAGCCCGATGCGGGACTCAATCCCAGGACCCTGGTATCATGACCTGAGCCGAAGGCAGACGCTCAACCATCTGAGCCACCCAGGCGCCCTGGTATTTCATTCATTTTTATCTCAGTTAAAAGCACCCACCGCTATTGATTTTTTTTTAGATTACATTATGAAAAAACCAGACTACAACAGGGCTCTAATAGAGCTGATATAATAACCAATGGTCAGGGAAATCTAAAAACATGACATGCATTTTTCCGTATGGCAGTGATGGAAAATGAAGTAGGGGTGGGCGCTGCTTAAACTGAGAAAGGGAACATTTGAAAAAAGCTGATTTTCCAGGCAGTTATCATTACCAGAATTATTAGAACACGGAGCTAACTAGCAAGAAAAAGAGTAAGCAGTGGAGACATTATTAAGAATAATAATAATCTGGGCGCCTGGGTGGCTCAGTTGGTTGGGCGACTGCCTTCGGCTCAGGTCATGATCCTGGAGTCCCAGGATCGAGTCCCGCGTCGGGCTCCCTGCTCAGCGGGGGGGTCTGCTTCTCCCTCTGACCCTCCCCCCCTTTCATGTGCTCTCTCTCATTCTCTCTCTCAAATAAATAAATAAAATAAAATTGATCTTGAAATGGAGAACTAAATAATTTAAAAAAAAGAATAATAATAATCAGTTTGTGTGGAGTGCTAACTCTGTGCCAGGTATTTTGCCCTGCATTATCTCCTTAATCATTACATTGAACCTTCTTTTCCCCATTAATACGTAGGGCAAAGCCCAGTCAGAGAAAGGCTAACGGCATGTCCAGGATAACTTAACAAAGCAGTGAGTAGCAGGTTTGGGCTGGACTCTGCCACACTCTAGGGCCTGAACTCTGAGTCACTCCCCTGTGCTGCCTTCCTGAAACTTTCCTCCCCATGCAGATGCTTCTGGCTCTCCTGTTTCTGCTGGCTGCATTTGTGTCCCTTGTGGAGTCTGTCCTGGGCATGAGCCAGTAGCAGCTTATCGTGGAGCCTTCTGAGTTACAGATGGCAGCGTCCTCTCATCTGGCTGGGTGGAAGTAGGCACAGCCCTTGGCCCCACCTGTCAGCTTGCAACTCCCCATCAAGCTGATGTTGTCAACATGCATTTTGCAAAGTAAATAGGGTGTTGCTCAGACCAAAGCTCAGGAAGATGAGGTGATTTTTAACGAGCTGATTTTATGGCCGTTTCTTCAAGACTCTCTCCAGTTGCAGATTCCTGGGCTGTTATTGCAGGGGTGGGTGTGGACATTCCTACTCACCATCTGCACCCTGGGAACCCAGAGAATAATTTCCTGGGACATCAGGGCCCCTTTCCCCAGATGGACTGTGCAGAGCTAGCACTTCATCTGCCCAAATCCATGACTCAAAGCAACACTTTTCAGGCAGTCGAGACCTAGGCTAGGTGGATCTTAACTGTTTGAAGACTTAAAAGATCAAAGCATCTTTTATCATCTGTCGCATTTTTTAGTTGCATATGAAGTTTGCCTCGCCTAGAGAGTAGTCATAATATTGTTTACAAATTCTGCCATGTGTGCAACTTCGCATTTGACTTTCTCAGTGGGGTGTGGGTACCGGATGGAGCATAGCTGCCTTTCGGGGAGTTGGTGTGACCGGCCCAAGGTTGATCAGCTCATATGAAGTAGATCTGGCCCCCTGTCCAGCTGATGGGATGCCATGGTCAGGGATGTCTCGGGCCCCTAGCAGAGTAGGGGAAGCATGGACTTTAGAGCCCACAAACCTGCTCTTATAACCTTCTTGAGTCCCAGTTTATCCACCCATAGAATGAAGGCTCGCATGTCCACCCTGATGGCTTGCTTGGGAATGACGTGAGAGCCAGTCTGTAAAGTGCGTGACATGGGCATGGCCGAAAAAATGCTCGTTCCTCTCCCCTCTTTAGACTCCCCCTGCAAAATCTGGAGGTCCACTCTATATCCACGTATAAAGTTTGATCTCTATGCTTTAATCAGATCTTTCATCCCCCTTCCCCCACTCCATTCAATTAGCAACATTGACTTTGCTCTTTGCTCCTAGGAAATGGAGAACAAGGGAGACCTTACCCCATGACCGACGCTGAGAGAGTGGATCAGGCGTACCGAGAAAATGGATTTAACATTTACGTCAGTGATAAAATCTCCCTGAATCGCTCTGTCCCTGATATTCGGCACCCAAAGTGAGTGTGACATCTCTCATGTTCTGGGATCTAAGGATTTTACCTGTGGCTCTTGATGAGAATTGATTAAAGAAACAGGTACATCAAGCGAGCTAGAGGAAATTCCCTTCTTGGTACACAGGGCCTTGGTGCAGAGGTTTATGGGATCAGATTCTCCTAGATTTAGAGGTGGGGTGGCAGAGGGATGAAAAAGAGCCGGCCTCCTTCCCCTTTTAAGGCAGTGGAAACTGTAGACTGTAGGACCTCTGCATTTCCCCTCTGCTCTGGCCTTCGGGGATGTTCAAACCTCACATTCAGACAATTGCAGCGACACTTTCAACCCTCATGCTCCCCACTTTCTGTGTGATACATTTTTATTTCCTTTTCTTAAAAAACGGCTTTATTTTAGCTATCCTGTGCACCTATATGTTTATGTCTTTTTTTAATAAGCTGTCTCAAATCACTTTGAGATAGGACACATCATAGCAATGATAAAGAGGGTAAGAGTGGCAATTAACATTCCCTGAACAGTTATCATGCGTTGTTTGCAGCATCTGAGGTTCCTGTGAGGTAGGTCCTATAATGGTACCCATTTTAGAGCCGGGGAAACTGAGGCTTAAATGAGTGTCATAACTCATGGCCCCAAGGTGGCAAAGAAGCCGAGCCAGGTCTCCAACTCAACCAAAACCTATACTCTGGACTTTAAGCTGTCCTGCCTCCCTGGCCATTTTCAGGAGGCTCGTTGCAGTGGTCATGGTGATTTTCTACTAGAGCAGGAGTTCTTAAAGTCGGTATGTAGTAGAGTCACCCGGAAGGATGTTAGAGCCCAGGATATTGTGCCTCACCCCCGTAAATCCCAATTCACTAGATCTGGGTTGGGGCCCAAGACCTTGCATTTTAAGTAAGCTCCCATGTGGTGCTGGTGCAGCTTATCCTGGGTCCACACTTTGGGAACCTCCACAGGTAGAATTCGAACTGGCTTCCACAGGAAAGCAGTACCGAGTGGCATTGGAGCACACGAGCGTTTTGCTCAGCAGTTAAGAAAGTAGAGCCCAGGAAAAGATAATAGCAGCTAACACTGAGTTGGTGCTTACTGTATGCCAGGCTTGGTTCTCAGCCAGTGGTTCTCAAAATGTGGTTCCCAGGCCAGCAATGCGATGCGTACCTAGGAACGTATTAGATGTGCACATTCTCCGTTCCCAGCTTAGATCTACTGCATCAAAAACTCTTGAGAGGCACCCAGCAATCAGTGTTTTAACAAGCCCTCCAGGTGATTCTGATGCAAAGCTTAAGTTTTAGAAGATGTTCTAGGTGCTTTAAGTGCTTTACCTCACTCAGCCAAAACTTCCAAAAACCCAACATACCTTTATTACAGATAAGGCATAATAAGGTTAGGGGATTTGCATAAGATGGCTCAGTGGGTAAGTGGAGCCAGACCTTGAATGCGGGGAGTCTGACCTAGCATCCGTAATCCACAAGGTCTTTCCACCTGGAAGAACTCAATTGGTAGAATGCGGTACAGGCACATCTCGGACATAGCGCAGGTTCTGTTCCAGAACACCGCAGTAAGGCAAGTCAGATGAGTTTTTGGTTTCCCTGTGCATATAAAAGTTACGTTTACACTCTACTATTGTTGATTAAGTGTGCAGTAACATTATGTCTAAAAAACATTTATACCTTAATTAAAAAACACATTGCTAAAAAATGCTAATCATCATCTAAGCTTTCAGTGGGTCATATTCTTTTTGCTGGTGGAGGGTCCTGCCTCGACATGGTGGCTGCTGACTGATCAGGGTGGTGGTTACCGAAGGCCGGGGTGACTGTGCCAATTTCCTAAGATAAAACAACAAAGTTTGCTGCATCAATCAACTCTTCCTTTCAAGAAAGATTTCTCTATAGCATGTGATGCTGTTTGATAGCATTTACCCACGGAGAACTTCTTTCAAAATCGAAATCAATCCTCTCAAACCCTGCCACTGCTTTATCAACTCAGTCTATGTAATATTCTAAATGCTTTGTTGTCATTTCAACAGTCTTCACAGCATCTTGACCAGGAGTTTCCATCTCAAGAAGCCACTTTTTTTGCTCACTCATGAGAAGCAGCTTCTAATCCATTAAAGTTTTATCATGAGATTGCAGCAATTCAAATATAATAATAATAATCACAAGAAAGTTAGTGAGAATTACCAGTATGTGACACACACACACGAAGCGAGCAAATACTGTTAGAAAAATGGCACCAACAGACTGCCCAACACAGGGTTGACACAAACCTTCACTTCATCAAAAACACAGTATCTGAAAAACACAGTAAAGTGAAGTGACCATAACTAAATACTAATACCAATAGTAAAGAATTAATCTTGATAGCATGTATGAGGTACTTACAAAATGCTTTCTGACCCGTACCATCTTTCAGTTCCTGCAACAATACCTTGAGGTTGGCCTCATTATTATTATTATCCTCCTGACTTTGTAGATTAGGAAACCGCCCAGCCAGGAATCTGTCCCCCAGAAGCTGTGCTGCTTAACCAGGATGGGCCCTATTCATAAGGACTTCTTGCCACAAGGGGAGGGAGCATGGGGCCTCAGAGTGCTTGTCCGTGGCGTTTGTAATAATTCGTTTCATGGTCTTCACTGTCAAGCCCCAGATTTTTCATCTAAGTCTGAGAATGTAGTTCAGATATTACTGATGTTGCTGGATTCAGAACTGTGACCTGACTCTGAGAGTCAGAAACTCAATTTATGTGTTTAGCCCCTCGCAGAGTTCAGAATTCTGCACTAATTTCATCTTGCTGGCTCTAGAAAAGAAGTTCATCCGGAGCACTGCACTCTGACTTCAGCTACTGTTCTGTGCTACTGTGGGGGTCTCAACTCTGGCTGTACCTGGGGTGGTTTTAAAAACAGGCAGAGGCCAGGGCGCTGCCCCAGACCACTGGCATCTTAGTCTCTGGGGGTGCATCTGGGGTCTCAGTAGTTTCTAAAACCTCGTAAAGCAATACTCACTTATATAACTAGGGTTGAGAAACTGCTGGTGTGAAATAAGGAATATTTTTATAACGAGAGAGAGAAACTAGGTGTGGTCACAGCCTTCATCCATCCATTCATCTGTTCAGTCAGTAAATATATAGGAATGGTCTCCTGTGTGCCAAGCCTTGTGCTTGACACCAAGAACACAATGATAAATGAGCCATTATTGCTGCCTTGTGCAAGAGGTGGGGACAGATGGGCCAAGCAGGTCATTACACCACAGATGAGAAAACCAGTAATAAGAGTAGACACAGAGTACTTGGAACTCCAGAGGACACCCCCACCCAGCACCAGCCTTTGCAGGAAGACACTGAAGGTGGAGAAGTAGGCAAGAGATGCGCGATCTCCAGCTTACTGGTTAAAAGTTTGAGGCTCCCAGCTGATTAGAGGCCCCCAGGTTGGGGCCTGGCACCCTGGTCTCCAGTGCACTGCTCTCTCCCAACAGCTCAGGAAAAGAAAGGTCTTCTTAATCTAGGAGTCCTGGGGCCCACAGACAGGTCTGTAAACCTGAATGGGGTAAAACGTTGCATTTTTCTTTTCATTAGCCTCTCACTGAAATGTGGTGTTCCTTGCCGTTATGACCGTAGACGACAAAGCACCTGGGTTGTTGTCGCCAAAAGAAATCATTTACTTTTACATCACTTTACGGATGTCTAGAAATGTCATGAATACTCATCCCTGCTTTGAAATGAAGGTAGTTTTTAGAACTGCCATTAGATTGTGTTGTTTAATGTGTCCATAAGGAAATTCTTCTATTACTATATTTCAAATTGTTTATTATTTTGATAACTGTATCTCAGTCCAATTGGTTTCCTTTATAATCTGATTTATTTTATGCATTGTAAAGGCTGCTCTGAGAAGTGGCCATAGGCTTCAGCAGCCTGGCAGAGGGGTCTGGGGCATCAGGAAGGTGAGGAAGCACTGTTCTAGGTGGCTGTGAATTGAGCCTAAGGACGCCTCAGGCCCCTGTTGCCAGCCTACCCAGCCAGCCTCCAAGTCACCATGAAGGATGTTGCTAAACCCAGTGCTCCGGACATCCCCTACCCCCAGCCCAACACACGCTTTTTAGAATTCCCAGTGTGGAAGCTCACTTTCCAGAAATGAGTTGGCAGATGTCTTGAAGAGCTCTTATTTTTTTCCCAGGCTGGGCGGGGGGAGTTGGTGGATCTTTCCTGCAGACAGCAGAAATGTGTGAGGAAATCAGAGCAGTGGAGACACTCTCTCCCTCCGGTTTCTTTGAGCTCAAACAACTTCTCTAGCAGGAGCTGAGGTAATGTTTGCCTTTTACTTCTTCAACTGAATTTTGGCACTAGCATGCCAAGAAGAGGATTGAGGGGCTGTTTGTGCCGGCTGCATTTGCTTCCACCAGAAGTTGCACCAGGGACCATGGAGCCACAGAGAACGGAAACTGGGCAGTTGGGCCTGACTTGCTGGGCTTGCATGTGGGAGGCGGCCAGCTGGCTCTGAGGGGACCTGACCTCTGCACCCCCCCACCCCCGCTGAGGGAGCCCGAACAGAGGCTAGCTGGTGCGCTGGCCTGCTTTCCCTGCTACCTTCCCCGGGGGAGGCGGGGGTTGCTCGGCAGCCGTGCATGGGGGCCCCTCCAGGGCACAGAGCTGATGGCAACAGCCCCAGCTGCTAAAGTGCCTGGGGTCTGAAGGTCCCTTTGCAAACTTCTTCTCTGAGAAAATGGTCATTTTCTCCCATGCAAAGAGTATCCACGGTGGGACTGAAAGCAGTCAACATTCATGGTAGGAATGAAAACTATCTACAATCCTGACCTGCTTTCTCCAGTCCATTGGTTTAGCTTTCAGCAAATGAATGAACCTGAATGGAATCTTTGTTGCAAATCTACCAGATTCTTGGTTCCATGCTTCTTTTTGCTTGTTGCTTTTTGCTAAATTAACTCTCTTGATTTAGGGTATATGCTGAATTTCCTCAAAAGAACTTAGAAGTTCATATTATTATAATAGGCCAGTATTCTATTGATC